CTGCTTACATCCCTAACTCCCTTGCTCCTCCTCTTCCCACAAGGCCCATCCCTATTCACTCCTTTCTCCCCTTCCCCCATCCTGGCTGCTGCTCTACCTCAACAGTGTGAGCAACCCCAAGTGACTTGCAAACCTGAGCTCCAGCAGGTCCCCTGGGAGCGCAGATCAGCAGAGTGCTGAGACCACATAGGAAAAGCCAGGCGGCCCTATTAGGCTGTGTCCAGACTCAGGGTTTTTTTCGGAAAAAGTAGCCTTTTTTCGAAAAAACTTCACCTGCGTCTAGACTGCAGCCTCGTTCTTTCGAAATTAAATCGAAAGAATGCGGCTTTTCTTTCGACGGTGGTAAACCTCATTTCACGAGGAAGAACGCCTTCTTTTGAAAGTGCTCTTTCGAAAGAAGGCGTTATTGAATGTAAATAGGGCTTCTTCGAAAGAGAGCATCCAGACTCACTGGGTGCTTTCTTTTGAAAAAGCGGCTTGCTTTTTCGAAAGTTCCGCGTGCAGTCTAGACGCTCTCTTTCGAAAGAGGCTTGCAGTCTAGACATAGCCTTAGTGAGCTAGGACATGGACTTCCTTCATGACAGCCCCCTCCCTACCTCTCTCTGCACTGACTGTCCAGCAGGCCCTTCTCTGCTTCCTCAAGCCCTTCTTGCACCAGAGCTGCCTGGAAGCTTGGCTTGCAGTCCTTCCTTGCCTGTTACAGGAAATGGCCCAGGTAGGGACGATCAGATTACACAGGTAAATGTATGGTTGCATAGGTAGTGTTGGAGAGAAGGCTTTGGATTCTTCAACCCCGTTCTATCAAAATCAGTCAATAAGGCTGTGTCCAGACTCAGGGGTTTTTTCGAAAAAAGTAGCCTTTTTTCGAAAAAACTTCACCTGCGTCCAGACTCAAGCCGCGTTCTTTCGAAATTAAATCGAAAGAACGCGGCTTTTCTTTCTACGGCGGTACTCCTCATTCCACGAGGAATAACACCTTTTTCGATGGATATCCGTCGAAAATAAGTGAGTGTGGACGGGGGGAGGCCTTTTTTTCGAAAATATTGGCCTCCAGGAAGAAGCCCTGGTGGACAATCTGGGGCATGGGTTGCATGTCTGTGGTTCCTGTCTGCAGCCATTTCTTAAAGGGACAGGCACCCTCACAGCCA